GCAAATGGAGAGCTCTCTTGTATTTGTAGCAGTGGAGTCCACACTCAGATTGTTCTGCTGACGGAAATCCAACAATCTCCTCCGTCACTACTGCGGGTAGAGGACAGGCCACCAATGGGAATAGTTTCACAATTCTTTTATTGGAAGCATCTGTAGAAACCATAAAACAACAACTACAACAACAGCAACACAAAGCCATGTTTTCTCACTTCTTTCCGAGCAAGGAGGGTGCCAGAGCGAATCCCCACCCTACCCACCCCCCCTGCATGGTGGCTTCCTTTGTTCATATTTCACTGCCTGCATCCAGCAGCAAGATTTATGGGCTGGTGCTGAGCTCAGGATGTGCACAGGACTGGTCTCCTGGGGCCAGGGCTTGGCCATGCAGAATGGGGGTGCAGAAAGGCTCCTGCAGCTTCAGGGAGGAAGGAATTGGAGGAAGGTTATTCCGGGCCAGATTCCAGCGCCTTCCACCGAGCAACAGCTCACCGAAAATCGAGGCCTGGTAGCTAATGAGACTCTTCATGGAGAAATGTTGTCACTTCGTGTCTGTGGGGTATTGCACCCAAGGACACAATGCCTGGATCCGGACCGATGTCCCCTGCACTCCCTTCCGGTCTTGGTCACCATCCCAGCAATGAGGAGCTCATTTATTTCACTGTCAGACCACTTCCCTACGACAAAGTGTTCCGACAGCACTTGCCAACCTGGCCAGGAGTAGCGTTTTAGAGCCTTGAGCTCTGCTGGGACCTGAAGTGGGACCGATCCGACTGGAGCCCAGTGGGGAGAGGGCTCAGAATGTTGGGAGGATGATTGTGCAAGAGCAGGACATGAGATCCCAGGTGCACATCTTGGCCTAGACACTTTCCCGGTGTGATTTTTGGTAAGTTACTACATCAGTCCTGAGTCACCTTGCCCCAGCAAAAGGAGGATGTTGTGTTTCCTGACTCCTGACTGTTGTGTTTCAGGCTCTAGCAAGGAAGAAAGTCTCCTAATTTGTGAAGTGTGGGAGGAGGAGGCAGGAAAACAAAGCAGGGAACAAGACAACAAGCCAGCAATATAGTCACTTAGCTCGGCAAAAGCAGTGATGTTGTGAGCACACAGCGTTGAGCACGTAAATATCCAGGATCTGTCCAACATCCATCTCTGCACAAACCTTCAATGATGACCAAAATTCCATAGGATCAGAGCTCCAACACCTCTGGGCAATTGCAAAACTGGGTCCTGTGTGTGCAAATTATAAGATTTTTTTTTTCCAGTCCTATACATGTGTGTGTTTTCGTGGTGCGTGTGCTCATGATAAGCCAATAAAAGAAACACAAGTGAAATACAGGCTGGGAAAAATGTAACCTATTAAAGCCACACAATCTTTTTTTTTTTTTTCCCCAACCCTTGCTCTTTTCCAGTTTGTCTAAATAGACCTCCAGGCTTTTTCTCTTGGTTGAAGTGTGCTCTTTCATGGACAGTTTTCAATGTATGTTAAAGTCTCTGGCCGCCACCAGTTCGGATTTTTGCGCTGCGCGTCTCGGCTTTCCCTTCTATTAAGACAAAGTGCTGGCACTGCTCTTTGACCAAGTGCATTGTTCATGGTACTGAGCAGCAATTTTCCATCTCTGACTGTCTTTGGGTTCACCCCAGGAGGAAGGGTGAGCCTGGTTTTTTAAGCTCTTGTTTCTCAGAGAGCAGCAACATCTGGAGCGCGGGGTGGGCTGCTGGCACGCCTCAGCGGAAAGGAATTCGGCACGGGGTGAGGTCTGCCCAGCTCCAGAGGTGTCACTGCAATCGGTTCTGGTGGCGGAGAAATAACGAAGCCCTGCATAAAACAGCACGAGGAGCACATTTCTGTCTATGCTGGGCTGCTCCGGAATTTTGCTTCTTCCAAAAGGGAGTCAGGAGACCCGGGAACCACGTTGGTCTTGGGTTTTATCATCCAAAGCTATGTTGTCCTCTGTTACCACTCAATGTTTTTCCACTTGGAGAAAACTTGTGTTTCCCTTGATGTCCAACTCAAGGGGTTACCGACAGAAAGGCAGGTGTAGAGGATGAACTCTGGTACTTGGTTTCAGTGCCGCATTTATAGTTCCTGAAAACCCATCCCAAATGCAGCTGGCCCCTGCAAGTCACAGTACAGAAACCACCGTTGGCTATGGATGGGTGGCATGTGACATAACCAAAAATGTGGGCATCCTCCCTACCTCTGTTGGGTGTCATTTTGGTCAAGGTGAGGTGAGATGTCCTGAAACAAGCCGGTCTTTTGCTTTGGTACACAGACCCCCAAGATCGATACATGAGACCCCCCTATGTCACTCCTCCACAGCTTCTCACCAATATGCTCCTTTTCCTCGTGCTCTTACACACCCTAGCTCCCAGTCTTTCCTCAAGCTGAAACCTTTTCCCTCTCAATGTTACTGGAGAGTCACGTGTAAGAGAAACCTCTCTGGATGGGGCTTTCCAAAGCGATGCTGAGAGAAGGTAACTGAACACCACCCCCCCCCAAAATGTTTATGTCCTTGGTCTCCATATGTGTTTGCAATTGTACTGCTGGAAAGAGCCCACCACCAGAGTGGAGATAAAAGCCATGCAGCATGCAACTCCTAGAAGTTTATTTTGGCTGCCAAGCCAAATGTGGAGATAGTCTCTAATTAGAAGTGTTGCCTTCTGCAACAGTGCAGAGCAGTAACAAGAGTGGAATTTGTGTGAAGCGTGCGCTCCCCTCACATGGCTATGGTGAATTAAGCAAAAATGTCAAACTCAGTCTGCAACCAGCAGACAAATTGCATCACATTACATGTTTACACGACACGGTAGCCTGGCTGTGGAGCGTTGGTGAGTGCACGCTTCTCGAGAAGCATTGATGGTGCTCATGCTAATTTGGGTTTAGACCCAGAAGAGCCTGTGATGTTCCCCTCTCCACCTTTTCAGATTACTGTGATGATGACTAAGAAAAGATAGTTTCTGCTTAATGCCTGTCATCACTTGGTTTTCATCCAGTGAACCCCAACAGCTGGAGTACACCCAGTCAGGGTATTCCTCGTTTGCTGCAGCGTTTTTTATTTAGAGTTGGCTTCTTCAGAGATGTTTATCCTTGCAGAAATATTTGCAAACATCATTAAATCAATGTAAAAGCTTTCTGCTAAAATAATACCTCTGTCTGATTTTGTTTAAAAAGCTTTAGGCCATCCTGTAATGTACACAGAATGGTACTTACCTATGGATGTCCAGTAAAGACCACGCAGTTGAATACATAGAAGCATGTTGCACCATCACAAATACACTGCATTTCTTACAGGAAGAATAATATTTTAAGGATTTATGAAGTTCTTACTGGGTCTGCTATTATATATGGACATAATCCTAACCTCAAAAGTCCTCTTTCCCACTTCTGTGTTTTCCTGTAGCAAAAGCCAAGCTTACCCCAACATCAAAAGAGTAAAAAAAAAAAACTTGAACAGAACCTCCCAGGAATTATATAAAACCCAATATTTTCTTATATGATGGCACTGTGACTTTAGGATAAAATGTTCCCAAGACCTACAAAACTTAGAAATAACTCCTCCATCAAATGCAGGTCTCTGGTTTGAAGCCTGGGGAACCAGACTTGCTCTCAGGAGGTGTGAAGCTCTTGATTTCCCCCTCTGTGCCAAACACTGTCGTTACCCCCTGCCCCTTGCCAGAGCACGTCGCTACACACCAGGCAGGAAAGAAAAGCAGGAGTGCAAACAAAACTGGTCAATCCCTCTGGGTCCTTGGCTGGAGTTTCACGGGGTCAGCAGAGGCCAAGACACAACTAGAAGATTAATTTCTCTCCACCTGCAAGAATTAGTCTGTTTATTTAAATCAGACAAAAAAAAAAAACCAAAACACCAAAACACAGTGTTCACGTATTGAAACATGCTCATACCTTTTTAAAAACTAGAGCAAGCCTGGTGTCTCCCAGGTGACCACATCTAGTTGCAAACTGAGTTTATCTCAGCTTGGTAACACCTAAGGCAATGTTGAAGCACCGTGTCTTCTCCAAAAATTGCCCCTGTGGTAGTTTGCTCTTATTTAACTCGAGTTAAAAGCTGTGCCTGAAACACCTGACTGTGAACAATTCTTCCCAGTGAAATCTCGTGGAAGCAGAACAAACAATTTTCTCCCTAATAAAAGCAAGACCTTCGAGACTGACGGAGCCAACAAGTTAATCAAGTTTCCTACTAAACAGGAAGTTGTGGGACTGTGGCAGGAGGAGTAAATCTGTGTTTTGGCTAGAGAGAGAGTGGAGAGGAATAATACAAATTAACCACTGGGGGGTTTTGTTTATTTGTCAGGAAAATACCCTTTAAATGTACCACTTTGGGAAATATCCAGTCTGATAAGACTGGCAATAAAATCAAAGCAAGCTGCAGGAGCTTCAGAAAGAGGAAGGGTAAAGCCACCACAGGCATGAGGACCATTGTTATTAAACCAGTCCCACTATTAATATTTCTTAAGATTGCTACCACAACAGTTGTTATTACCACTAATTACAACTGCAGCAATACTTGCACTGCAGCAGAGTTTGACTCTTCTGCCCTGGAGGAGGATCCCAGTGTGTTGCTCAAACATGGAACAAAATTAACAGTCCCAACCCCAAAAGATGGTTTAAAATATAGCTTACAAAGGAGAATAAACTCACTGCTTGTTCCATTCTCATCCATATAAACCAAGCTTCCACTTTCAAGGACTTGCACGTTCTCCTGTCATCTGATGGGCAATTAGTCCAGTGCATCTCACAATGGTGGCAACGGACCAAATCAAGAAGAGAAAAAAAGTACAGACAAAAATGCAATCATGTCATTACTGGGCAACATATGACCACATTTTGCTTCAAGCTACCAAGCAGTGCTATGGGATGTGTGTATTCATGTGAAAATAAGCCCAACCAGTCATTGAGATATATACAAAATGGATGATTCATGATAATTGTTGCACTGGAATTGCTTGACAAAGAGAGAGAAGAAAGCTGTTGATTACCAGGCACCTCGAGAAAGACCGCAGATACAGATAAATTTAATGTTATGGTCACTGTGGACGTGCAAATTCCTGTCTGCAGACTAACAGACGGGCCTGTGAAAAGAAATGAAGAAAAGCATACTCATTAGATCCAAAACAACTGGAAAAAGTTGCGCATCCACCAATTCAAAAAGGGTGGAAGTCACTGAGTCACAGCAGCTGAGACCGTTGAATAGGTCAATAACCAGCACTCAAAGGTCCTAATGGGCAGTGCACCCTTTCTAGCCTTAATCCTTTGAAATAGTAATGGTAGTAAAGGCCATAAAGAAAACACATAGATCATAGGCTAGTTTTGGTTCTTCGGCTCTTTGGGATTTATCTTTCTCAAAAGAAGCAGCCTTATTGGACCCTCAGTACACTGGGAGACTTGAAAGCGTAAGTATTTGTTGGATCAAAATATGCATTACTTCAAAAGCATGAAATGCCTAGATATTGAAGGCAATAAATCTTCCTCTGTAAAATACATGCATATATAATTTATATGATAAGCTTAATACCGAGATTTTTAGCTTGGCTTCCAACAGACATGAGGTGCAGGCAATTATGTTCCCTAAGATCGAGTCCGTCTGTCCCCTCTCAGTCCCAAAGAAAATAACTTTTGAGCCCATTAGCCAATATCAACCAATTTTGGCACAGGGATAAAGGGTTTGAGGGTATTAAGTTCCCATATGCGCCGTGATAGTAGGTGGCCAGGTAGGAGTGGCAGACTCATTAGCACATGCCTTGAAGGAATGTCACCAATGTAGACACAACCCTTTCTCAGACCGAAGAGAGTCCAGAAAGACCTCATGAATGCTCAAATAGGGGCATATGAACCAACAGCTTGAGTCAAAACCCACACCAAAACACAAGACTTGTTGATCTCTTGCTGGTGAATCCACCCATTTCTCCTTCTCCTTTGGTCCCAAAGGCCGTGATGGTGCCTTCAGAGCACCTTCCCATCCCAATCCTCACTTACTGCAGTCATTTATTCCCAATTAATGGGAGCCCCCATTGCATTTTTGTGCCTTAACTCATAACTGTCGGGCTATCTCCTAACATATGGAAACAATTCATTTTCTTTGTCATCGTTTGGATCTGAAACTCGGGTACTCTGAAATGTAACTATACATGAATTTCCCTGAACTAATTACATAATATTTATCCTATTTTCTTTAAAGTAATACTTGCTAGCTAAGAAATGAAGAACTGCATTGCTTATAATAAACTCTGCATGCTACATTGTAATCTAAACTGTACAGTTATATATGGTGAAGAACTAAAAGGTTTGAGTTATTCCCCTTGGCAAACATTTTTTTAAGGATTGCTTAAATAAGCAGTACAGAAACCAGATGTCATTTGGTAAGAGTATCTGAATGACCAAAAATTTGCTGTCTGGGTATTTTTTTTTTAAACTTTATAAAAACATGAGAAATTCTTTGGATTTATATCATATTTAGCAGCTGTGAAACAGTGCAAACATCTGTTTGTACCTATAGGGAGCTGACCTACGGGGTCCTCATCTCTTAATCACCAGGCAACAAGCTAGTCTCATATACATAGTTTATTGTTTTCTTTTCAGCTGCCTCCTGCACTTCAAAGTTTTTATACTCTCATGTTCTATTATCACGGCGAGAGGGACAGTTCATTCATTATAAGCCCAGATCTGTGCTCAACAAAATTGCCATAAAGTACCGTGGACACGGAATTGCCCTCAAACACAGCCATAAGAAGCTCTGAGTATGACATAAAAATTGTTGCTTCCCTCTTTTTTTCCCCCAATATTATTTGTTGTTGGTTTGCTGCTCTGGGTTTGTTGCGTTTTTTTTTTTTTAACATAAAGGATGGAAGAACAGAAGATGAAAAGGAACAGAAGTCTTTTTTTTATAGCCAGTCCTACTGTGGAAAGAGGAGTTGACAAGGCAGCTCCATGAGATCCCATACACCATATTTTTCTAGGTTTCCACAGTTGTCAGTTATTATAGGAAAAGACTGCTATCTTCTAAATCCATACAGCATCCCAATGACTGGAAAGGAAGGAAAATAAAGTAACTTTAGTGGATATCCCCTCCCAAAGAGGTTCTCCTGCTATGCCTATGTCCAACACAAAGACTAAGTAAGATCCCACCCTCTGTCAGGACTTCTAAAATAATGAAGAGCATGGAGGGGAAAACAAATTTATTTGAGAAGGGTTTTGCCCTGCTCATTACCGTGTTATTTAGACACGCACACTCCATCCTTCAGTGATTAAACCAGGAGTAAATTCTTCAGCATCTGTGATAATCTCTCCCTTTCCCCCCCTAATGTACTATTGGCTTTGGGACCTCAAGTTTTATGCAGTGAGAGAAAGGTGCAAACAGTGGGGAAGAAAAGATTTGTGGGCCTTGGACACGAGAGTGGAATCGGCACTCCCAGATATACTGTGAGAGCTTAAACCATACCCTGAACTAAGTCTGAAAACAAATGGGGAAACACTGTATGATTCCATCCCATTACAGTACAAATAAATCATTCCTGGAAATCTAAAACAAATGGCCCAAGCTCAGCTCTATGGATGATCCAAATGCAAAAAAGCTGCTAATTCTAAAAGGCAGATGCAAGTAACCAATTAAGAATGCAGTAAAAAAAAAAATAAAAAAAATTAAGGAGTGTAACTTGCTTAGCAGGAAGATGTTAAGGCCACAGAAGTGGGTCTTCCAATCACCTTTTTTGGTATTCCTGAGCAAGCATTCTTTTTTGCTTACGTTAATATGGAATGTATTATGACAACGTTCTTATGGATATCCATGCCTTTTGTCTATCAGTACTTGCAGATACATTCAAAACAGCTGCAAATATTTTTTAAATTATGTAAAAGTCCCAAACACTTTGAAAAGAATATTAATATCCCTTTAAAACAGCAGTGTGTTATATTAAATTAAAGATAGGAATTTAGAGAACAAAAAAACCCCGTTGTTAGCATTAACATTTTCACTGCTTTTGAATGCAGTCATCTCAGATAAGGCTTAGAATTATTTTGGTTAAATTTAAAAGCGTTATGGTGTTTGCACATTTAGGTGACAAAGCACATAATCACACTTAAGAGATTACAAGGAAAGGTTTGTCTTCTCAAGGCTCAGCTGGCTTTTTACAACTATTTGAAAAGATACATGAATTTTTTTATATAGCACCTCTTCCTCCAGCTTTGCTTCTTTTCAATCTGCAGATCATCAGAGCTGCAGTCCCGTTCCTAGGGCAGACGGAGATGCTAATTCTCTTGGTGCTGCTCCCTCAGCCTTTGTCTCTGCAGCTATAATAATTTTTACAAAATAAATTTAAAAAAAATTTTAAAAAATTACCTTGGAGGGGTTTTCAGAAGGGATCTGGCAAGGGGAGATGTCAGTTCTTGGAATGAACATCTCAACTATCTTCCAGTGATGGCCTTTTCACATCCATGACAAGAAAGTTGGCAGCAGGCAGGGAAGTTATGGGGCACGAGTGGATCTTTCTGTCCCCTCTGTTTTCCTCTCTTGAGGAAGGAAAAAAAACTAATTAGTGCTTTTCCCTGGCCATAGGAGCAATGCCATAGCAAAAGGGGCATTGCTGTAAAAACACCACAGGAAAGTGCTGATGATCAATGGGTCTCCAAATCCAGGCACAATTTCTTACAAGTCCTGGCCAAGGGGCAGAATGAGAAACTTCTACCATCATCACACCCTTCCACACAGCATTTTTGGGGAACATCTGCTTTGCAAAGGCAGGAGGACTTGTGACTTGAGTCCAGCAGAAAAGAGAAGGGACTGTGACAAAGCATCCAGGAGAGCTCAAACACCACACTCTGAAATGGTCTCACAAAACCGCACGTACGGGAAAATGACCGAAACTTGGAAAAGCGTTTCCTGGCTCTTGGGTCAACCACTATTTTTAATTTTAGGAGACACCCATTACACAACTTGGATGTAGCACAGGCTCCTTGAGCGAGTGCTTTCCTGCATTTCTTCTGGCTGTTTCTTTCCTCGTGGACTGTGACATCACGTCTTCTGGTCGTGTGTGTGCAGCTCCACTTTCTCCCTCCCAGCATGGACTAATGACATGTCAAATACCAGGGAGGATGGGCCAAAAAGGAAAAAAATAAAGCTAATTCCATGGGCTAACTCCTTTAGTTACAGCTTGTGTACTGTTGTTCCTTTTCCTTTTTTTAATAAATACAAATTTCGTGTCCCATAAATAACGTTGTGTTTGTCAGCTCACTCACAGAATAATCGACAGTTAGTGCATGAGACTTTTCAGCACAACAAAATAAGCTTGGTGTTTACTCTTCCCAGAGATACCTATGAATTCTCCACTTCATTTTGTTCCTACCTAAAATACCAGCTATATTCTCCCAAAAAACTAACCAGTGACTTGATTGCAGGCAGCTGAGTGCCTTCAAAATTTTTGGAAACAACACCTTGTCCTAAATAGTTCCACATCTGTGAGGCTCCCTTACCAATTGGTAAATCAGGATACAAACCCTGGTCACAAACTGCCTGCACTGCTTGGATGTCTCCAAGTGGTAATTCCTTGCTCAGGCTTCATTTTTTTGGAGCAACTTTGGAATATAACTGGCTTGGTGGTCAGCTCAGGTTATACTTATCTTTGTTAAAAATGTGGAAAATTTTCAGTTTATCCCTGTTGAAATATCAGCCCCCGAAATTAACCTCCAATTTATCTGAGGCTGGAAAAATCAGAGTCCCAGGATGGTTTGGGTTGGAAGAGACCTTAAAAACCATCTCATTCCAATCCCCCTGCCATGGGCAGGGACACTTTCCACTAGACCAGGTTGCTCCAAGCCCCATCCAACCTGGCCTTGAACACTTCCAAGGATGGGGCAGCCACAGCTTCTCTGGGTAACCTCTTCCAGTACCTAAATATTAACCCAGACCAAATTATCATCATAAAACTACCAGATGATTCTTTGTTGGTCGCGGCGATCAAATATCAAAACAATACAAAATCTCGCTTTTTAATCTGTAACTTTTTAACTACTCGAGTGTTTTGCTCCTTCTGCCCTGCTTGTTTGGACAGAGGCAAAGCAACATATTCAAGGCATTAGTACTTTTGCTTTTCACCTTTACCTTCTGCCTCCTGGGTGGTGTTTATCAAATCTACTTTTGCACCTGTGCCTAATTTAAAGGTTATAGTTCATCCATTAACCCTGCTAACACCACCCAAGAGGCCGAGCAGCAATATTAATTTAGTGTTGTCTGGAACTCTGCTCCAAACATCAATTAAAAATAAAAAATAAAAAGGTTTCTAAACAATGTTTTTATATATAATTAGAGATATATAGTTAGAGATATATAATTATATATATGTGTTATCTATTATTTTTTTTTATTATCTACTAAAAGTTATATATTATAGATCTTGGCCTAGGAGCACCATTTTTGACACCATAGACTCCTGTCCTGGGTTTCCCTTGAGCCAATCTCCTTCATGTGTGAAAAAACATTCTGCAATTCAGCAGTGGATGCTTTTTGTGTGGCATTCCCAGGAACCCCGGGAGTCATCACCTGGTCTTCCTCATTCAGCTGAACTATTTGTTGTTCTCTAGGAATGTTTTAGGGTTTCTCTCCTCTCTTGTCCACACCAGCCCTGTGCTCTGTGCTCTCCACCCCTTGCATGGTGCACAGACCCCTTCCCACTGCAGAGGGAAGGCTCTGCCCCAAACTTCCCCTCCAAGGCTCTTGAGGAGGAGAAAGCTTTGCACAGGAAGCACCCAGCTCTTTCCCAAATTCCCCCAGGTTTTAGCAGAGGCTCTGCTGCCCCACAGCTCATTCACCGTGCTGTGCTGAGCTGTTCTCCCTCCCTCTGCAACCGATTTATGGGCTCTCAGACCCCACAAGAAGCAGCACAGAGGAAACCAGCACCTGCACCCAACACACAAACCACTGGAGCAGGGAGCAGGTCCCACAGGAGGAGCTGAAATTTGCTGTGTCTGCATGTGGAAACAGCTCTGCTATCTGTGCATGTGGTTACCTGGCAATTCCAGTGGACAATTTTTGGATTATAATTCCACCATCCGCTCAGCTACCAATTCTTTGCAACCTGTCCCTGCCAAGAAAACTCCAGGAGAAATAAAATCCCCTGAAAACTCTGCTCACAATGCTCTAGCTTGGAGTTTGGCAGCTTCCCTCCAAAATTAAGTGATTAAAGCAGTGCTAATGAGACATTCATCCCCTGCACCTTTTTCCCTAAAATAAATATGCAGGGCTCTACATTACAGGTGCATGAAAAATTGCTTAAATAGGCATCTTGGAAGCACAGGGGAAAAAAAAAATAAAGGACACTCTGGCAAAAAGTTCCTGAAAATACTTGAAAATATAACTGAATAAATAACCCTTTTTTTGGATTGAAATCTGCAGACCTTAGCAGATGTGTCCAAGCTAAACCAAATATCCAGGGAACTGGATCTCCTTTCTGATGAGAAATAATGGAGAGCACTGCACTGGCAACAAGACAGGCTGGAGGAACCTACTGGTCTTTTCCAGCTCCAACTTCCGTGATAGCTCGGAGTTATCCTTAGGCATTGGCTTGATCCATCAATGAAGTTAGTTATTGAGAGCCCAGACCCCAGGGCTGGCAAGCCTACATCCATATTGAACTGGAAGCATTCAAACACCCATGGAGTGAATGGGATTACTGGATACTTACAGTCAAGCACGTGCCCCTGTCTTTGTGGGAGTGGAAGCACTGGAAGGATGATGATATAAAAAAAGGGGGGGTAAAAATCCTCTTAGGAGGAGGAAAAATACGGGGGAAATTTTTTTAAACTTTTTTTTTCTAATATTTAAAAAATGCCACCTTTTCTAACATTAAAAAAATGCCACCACAGAGGTGTCAGCTTAAATTATTAGGTAAAATGCTAAGGCAAATGAAGAAATCACATTCCACAGACCTGCGTGGAGGTGTAAAGGGGATCTTTTCAATGGAGGTTTTTTTTCCAGGCCCTGCTCTAACAGTACCTACCATTGTATTTGCAGGGCAGGGTGTAAAATCTGCTTACAGGGGTTTTAGCTGCACTGCTATACTTTTCAACCCATTCTGTTGCAGGCTTCTCCGAGGGTGAAGCCCACAGCAAAACCTTTTTCCTCAACAGCGATGGAAGCAGGAGCAGGCCCTGAGTTTGTAAATATTAACTTATTTCTAATGTCAGATTATTTACTCTCCGCTCTTATAACCACTCCGGCCAAGTGGATGGGGTCCAAGTTTGTTAACAATAGCTCTTGGCTGGGACACGCCGTAGCAAAGGTTAAATCCTGTTTGCCTTATTCCAGCGTGGAGCCCCACGGACTCCACTGCTGGCTTTGGGAGGGGGAGAGGCTTTGGCACCAGGACCTGCCCCCAGTTTTGCAGGATGAAGAGAGCCCTGAGTGACCTGAGCCCTGAGCCTCCAAGCACAGCAGCAAGACCCACCACAAGGAGGGGCTGAACCCTGGCCAGATGGGCTTTGTAGCCGTCGAGGGCAGAATTTGCTGCCAAACCACTTGGGCACATCCACCTGAGCCTTCTCCCTGGGGCTGCATCTTGCTTGCTGGGAGCAGCTGTGGCCATGGTGGGGATCTCAGTGAGAAAGGTGATCACAGAATCACAGAATGGGTTGGGTTGGAGGGGACCTTAAAAACCATCTTGTCCCAACTCTCCTGCCATGGGCAGGGACACCTTCCACTATTCCAGGTTGCTCCAAGCCCTGTCCAACCTGGCCTTGAACACTTCCAGGGATGGGGCAGCCACAGCTTCTCTGGGCAACCTGTGCCAGGGCCTCCCCACCCTCCCAGTCAAAAAGCCATTCCCCCTCATCCTATGTGTCTTCATGTGCACACAGGACACCCCTGTTTGCAAGGTCTGGTCTTACCTCCTTGTTGATCAATCATGCAACAGCAAGCAGTGGAAAGTAGCTGCCATTTGACCAAAAACCTCCAAATTCACACCAAGAAACCAGCACTGAATGCCATGATGGACCATCCCAGAACACTCTCAGCGTGGACAGAGGAATTGCCTTTACCAGAAGAAGCCCCTCTCCACGCACAAAGGTAGGGGCAGCAGTGGTACTGACTCACCCTGCAGGCCTTCCTCAGTCTGTGTGTCATCCTGCTCTTCCTCCCAGCCCTCTCCTGCACCGCTGGTGCCACTGCAGCAAAACATGCTGATCCACCAGGGCACAGGGCGTGCTCTGCCCGGCCTGACCCGCACGCATGGCTCGCAAAGGAAGCGCTCGCCGAGGGGAGCCAAGAGGCCACAGCGCCTTTAGCTGGGAGCACTCGCAGCCACAGACATTCCTGCCCTGATTAGGAAGGTTGAGTGGGAGCCAGGGGTGGGTCAGCGATCTCCTTCCTGCGGCTGCAGCCATTCCTGCCACGACTTGGATCACACCTCTCGGAGACACTCTCGGGTCGGGCACGGGAAGTTCACGGCTGCAAATGCACCGGTGGGGAAGGAGGAAGAGCACGGGGATGGAAGGGAAGTTCACCGGGGTTCAGCCAAAGCTGGGTCTGGAAGAACAGAGGTCTGATAAAAAGGAGAGAGGAATTGCGATGGACGTGACCCCCAGGGACTCCTCATCCCTTCTCCGGTTGCTGCAAGGTGCTGGAGGCATTGGAAATGAAGAGACAAGCTCCAACAAACCCACGGCTCAGAGTGGACTGAAGAAAACATGGTACAGACCTCCTGCCACAGCTCACCTTGATGGAAATCAAAATCTTCAGGCTGGATCCTGATATTTCTCATCTCTTCCCCATTGTAAACTGTCCCGCTGAACTTGGGACAGGATTGCTGCGCTGCACACACTGTGTGCTCCACAACACAGGAAAGACTAAACAAATCTCTCCAGGCAGCCAGGGTCAAGCCATACCATTTTTATCCCTGAAGCCAAGAAGAAGGAGAAGATTGCACTTCCTAGCAGGGAAAATAACG